CATGTTCAGCGAAGCAGCAACCATCTGTAATGGTAATGGTCTGAGCTCAAAACGCATAATCGCATAGGAAACCCTTGCATGTTGCTACCTGGATGTAATTCTGGTACACTACCCCTTTGCATGAATTTCAAAAAGCAGTAGCCTTGCACGATTTCAAAGGGCGCTGATAATGCACTGTGATGAAAGTGTTGAGACTTGGCAGGATCAGAATGAACGATTGGAATGTTTACTGTGTTCTGCTTCCGAACAAAGCTCGCAGAACGGTTTGCGAAAAATTGTTTAAAACCCTTTTTGGATCAGACAGACTCCCTCCTCCCCCGGTCCATTATAAGATTTGTAGAACGAATGATCGTGCCTAATTTTTATTCTGTATAAAGCAATTCCCAAAAGCATCACTAAGGCATGATTCACAAACTCCGACTCTCTAGGCGAACTCGGCACTCGATAGACTGTCACAGACAAGCACATTACCTTCCTGATGCTGCTAATGTTCGTGTAGCGTTTGACGCGTTCCGCCTTTTCCCTGCTTCTTCGATTGAAAGTCGTTTTTACAAATATGGTAATTTAGAGCGGAAGTACGAAACGATGCTCACTGCTTTCCTGTTATTTTCTGCTGCTACAGTGGTGGTTCTGAGCGATAGCGATGTCGAGAGCGCGATGCACGAAGTGACCACCACCAAGGTTTGTTACCGCTTTACTGTTTGAAAAGGACGTATGTGCAACGTTTGACAGGGTTCACTGGCGGCCAGGTGTTCCTGGGGCGAGGTGCCATTTCACAAAATCTTACTGCATGAGATGCACTCGGTGGTTGGCACAAGTCGTTATGTTGTGAGTGAAACGATGCGAAGAATAGAGCGGACAAGTACTTGCCGGATGATCTGCCTATATGAAGCAGAGCGAACTGTGGGAAAGCAATGCTTTCGTCATATTAGCAACGGCACTTCCGTCACAACCGCCAGGCACTTGTGTTGTGTGTTGGGTTTTGTGTGGGGAGATATTGA